AGAACCGTCCGCCCGGGGACGCGGGGCTGTGGAGGCCCGTCTTCTCTCCGCTGGGCAGGCCGGGAACGCCCAGAGGCTCCCTCAGAGGAGGTGGACCAGGACATTCGCTCCCCAAAGGGCCCTTTGTCTCCCCAACGTGGGGGTGGGGTGGCTTGGTGATGCTCTCACCGCAGATGCTATTTCTGTTTTATTTCCTACCCCACCCCCACCCCTCAACACGCGAGCTTTCTCTTCCCACAATGGCCTTCACTCCATCCACGGGATGACAAGGCAGCCTGCTACAGTGCTCTCACCGCAGATGCTATTTCTGTTTTATTTCCTACCCCACCCCCACCCCTCAACACGCAAGCTTTCTCTTCCCACAATGGCCTTCACTCCATCCACGGGATGACAAGGCAGCCTGCTACAGAGGTAAACTATTGCCCCACAGCCTCCACTCCCACCCCAATTTCCAGAAAGTTCCTGGGCGGTGCTCCCCTCCTAGGCCTGCGCTTTCTTAATCACCATACACCTCTTTGTATTTCACTACTGTGACTTTTTTTTGGATATTGCTGGCAGGACAGGAGAAGGCATAGAAAATACCCAAACTATTATCAAACATTTTATGTCTCAAAACGTTTCTGTTACATGTGTGTTCCTCCAGGGTTTTTCCTTTGCTCCATGAAATCAAACACCCAGTCATTTTCATGTTAAAAAAGGAAAGAAAAGCACAGAATTACCCTCTCAAAGCAAAAAGAAAATCCTAGGCAGCTGAGCCAAAATTACTCATCATGTAGAAAGGCAGCTGGTAGAATGACTTCACTTGCTCCATCTGCAATAAGTCTACACCCTGAGTGTCTAAGATGGCACTGAGATGGGAGGTGCACCGACACAGGAGTCTCTGCTCCCATCTCCTGTCTGCTGGACCCTGCTCTGGCTCTTAACCCATCTCCTTTCCTCTGCCCTTGCCCCTGTTTTCACCGGCAGTTGGAGTCATCTGTGAAAGTTGAAAATTGGCCCATGTCCTTGATGGCTGGCTCCCCATGGCCAAGGCACTCCCTGAGAGTTCAGGCCAGGTGTGGTCTGCCTGGCTGATCTCCCTGCCTTGTCCCCTGGCTTGCTGCTCTGCCCACTTGGGCCACTTTCAGATTCTTAAATATTCTCCCTCCCTTGTTCCTCAGGGCCTTTTTGCAGGAAATATGCTTTCCGTGTTTTTTGCCTATTTGTCTTCTGCTGTCTTCTAGGCTTTGGTTGAAATATCACATCCCTGAAAGAGAACTGATTGAGTAAATACACTGTTCTCCCTGTTCTCTTGGAATTTGCAAGTTCATCTCAGAGATGAGAGACTAAGCTCAGGGACTTGATGTCTCTGATAACTATCTTAGAAAATGATGAAGAAAAATTGTGTTCATAGAATTAAAAATTCCAGGCCCAGCATCCTATTTAGGGAACCTAGATGTAAATATATGGCTAAGATGTGTCAAGCACATAAAATATTTTATTTAAATAAGTAAGCGCTCACAGTCTACTACATTTGGAGTCCTGGACCTTAAAGAATTTTCATTCTTGTTGGGAGCAAGACCAGGACCACAATGAACAATTGGTGGTCACTGAGCACTGTAGAGAAGAAGGTGGAGGAGGGACAGGTGTGCTTTGTCCTTTGGAAAGGTGTGTGGTGCGAGGTAGAGGAGGACCTGTCATATTTCATGCTGGGGGTCCACTGACGGGTCGTTAACCACAGGGTTACAAAGCAGACTGTGCATTTGTGCAGCTGAGAACCTGGACACACTTGGCCTCTGCCCTCAAGCAAAGACAGTGCCAGCATCTGGCTGTCCAAATAAATCCCATTCTGCCCCTGAGAACTGTCATGGGAGGTGACTGCTCAGCCTGCCTCCAGCTAGGCAGTGGGTGCTCCAACCACTGAGGGAGTTCCCACCCACGTCATGTTCAGGCCACTTCCAAAGAGATGTGCTCTGACAAAATATTTTAATGTAAAAACTGACCGGACTGAACACAGACCGGAGTTCATGTGATTACTCCAGTACTGATAGGTCTCTGGTTCACTATTCTGTACCTTAGTGCTTGTTGTCCCGTCTACGTGCAAAGTGCTAAATAAACTCAGAAAGCAGGGTCGGCAACATTGGTGACACTGAGTCCCGTGTCTATAGCCATGACAGCTATTTTGAAGGATCATTTTGCAAGTTCAGAGTGGAGTGAAATTTCCAACTGTTCACAATTTTAAATCAGTCGACTGTTCCAGGAACTGAGAAACTGGTGGTTTTATTTATAGGGATCTGTATCAAATAAACCATCTTAGTTCTTGCAGTTGCAAAATTCTGCACCCAGTAAAATGATCCTTGTCGTGCTTGGCTGATGTTATTTCCAAGAGCATGGCAATCAAAAGATTTTCCCACAACATAGAAAAGGATAAGAGAAACAGAGATCTTATAATGAGTATTTCCAAAATTTCTTGCCATAGAAATTATATCACCTTCAACTATAATTTTTCTAAATTTGTATGAGCTACTCTTGTTGCTTTTAATCTTCACTTTCATTGTACTTACCAAAATTCCTCACAAAACACATTTATTATTCTACTTTTAGATTTCCTACAAAAGACAGTTTGAGCTGTTGGTTCATGAAATGTCCGGTTCAGAATCAGACAGGCCTGTGTTCAGATCCCAGATCTGTCACTTCCCACCTCTGTGACCTGGGTCAGTCCATTGACTTTTCTGAACCTGAATTTATCCTTTATAAAATGAGGGTTACAATAGTATGTCCTTTAAAAGATTATGGGCCAAGCCCTCTGCCTGATTAGGTGGGTGTAACCAAGACACAGTCTGGGTCACCTGACACCAGAGCCTGGCTAGTAAGCACTGCGCTGTGTGCAGAGAAGCCCATCAGAACTGGAGGAGGCCTTATCTAGGCTGCAAAGGACTGTGTGGAGTGGAAATGGAGTCTGCAGGGGGGAAAGGCTGGGGCACACGCCATCTGTCAGGAGGTGGAAGAGCCATCACAGCAGCTTGTGACACTGTCTCCTGTCCAGGGTGCCACCACCGAAAGCTGAGGGGCAGCCAGAGCCAAGCCCAGGTTCTGCAGCTCTGCTTGGCACAGCGCCTGCTCCTTCCCTTACTTTCTGGCCAAAAGTCCCAGGCACCCCTCTGAGGGGAGGAAGTGCTGCCCACAGGTGGGAGCAGGTGGAGGCTGGTCAGCTCGCCCCTGTGAGCCCCTGCAATGCCAGCTCTGCCACCACTTCTTGTCTTTTTTGCTTCAACATGCCAGCTGGGCTATGAGGCTGCCCCTCTGCCCAACGGGCCCTCATGTGGGAGCATTTCAGAGTCTCTGGCATTGACTCGAGCTACGAGGCCACTTGCTTTCGTGGGTGCTGCAGTCCCTCCCCAGGTTGGGATCTGGGGGGCTGCATTCAAGGGCTGCCTGTGAGCAGTCCTTATGGAGAGTCAAAGGAATCTACCACATCTCTCTCCTCCAATCTCTCCCAGCCAGACAGATAGAGGACCAACTCTCAGGCCACTCACTGCTAAGGGGGAAGAGAGGGACAGTGGCAGACAGAGTGTGTTTCAGGAGAAGGGAGTGACCTGAGCTGGGGCCCATGAAGATGTGGTGAGCAAGAACTCAGGGAGGTTCTCAGATTGTGCTCTTTGGCTTTGCCCTCACTTCCTGGGGTCTTGGGGGTGTCCAAACTTACCCCCATAACAGCATGTTTAAAATTAGACCCTTGTTCCTTTCCCCGAAGCCAGCTCCCAGCACAGTCCGCTCCCCTGCCTTCTCCCAGTGCCTGCCCTGCCCCCTCCTTTCTTTGACTTTCCCCACCTGGCATCTTCCCAGTCCTCAGCATTTAGGACTCCCCACCTGCTTCTCTTTCTTCCGGCAGTTTGCTGAATCCTGGTGTTTCTTCTTTTGGAGGACCCTAAAACTTTATCTTCCACAGCCTCCATCCACCTTACTGTCCATCCTCAGCCCGTTTGGACTGCCTCTTGCGAGTCCACTCAGATGTCAGATTGGTGATCCTAGAGCACCAACTTCATTAATGCCCCTGCTTCTACCTGCTCATTGACACACTGCCCTAGCTCTTCACTGGTCTCAGGATAAAGACAGATGCCCCAGCTGCACCTGGATGACACCTACCACCTTCCCCACTCCCACAGCCATGGCAGGTCCCAGTGCCCTTTCCCATTGAACTCAGACTGGGCATCAGAAATCTTCTCTGGATGGCATTGCAGCCATCAACACTCTTCAGTGATGTAGGCACAAAAGGGGACAGCTGCCTGCCCTCCTGTCCACGATGCTCTACCTTCCTGGCCTGCCTGCTGCATTCCCCATGCCCCATGCTCGCCTCCCACTGTGACGTCCTCTCTCCTTTCCACTCTGCGTGTACCATAGAGTGCTTAACTGTGTCCTGCCTGGCAGCCTTTCTGTAGCTGGGTCCTGCCTACCCCAGCAGATGCACAGTCCTGGAGGGCAGTGTGCATATCTTCTTTCTCCAACCAGTGGCCAGCTTCCTCCGGCCCAGGAGGCAGGCAGGTGTGGGTTCATGAAAGAGGTGACTTAATTGGATGCTCTGCTCCATGCACTCAGAAGGGCTGTGATGCCTCCCTCATAAGGATGTGGTGAGCACGCACTAGAGTGCTGTTGGTGGAAAGTCTGGGCCTGGGAATGGGCTCTGAATTGGCCAGATGGGCTGAGAGGGTGCTTGGATGAGTTGAGAGCTCATGGATGCAACAGTCACCAGGCCACTCAGCTCTTATTCTGGCTCTCACTGGGTGCCTTTAGACAAGTGACTTAACCGCTCTGGGCATTGGTTGTCTATAAAGAGCAGGAGTGGTGAGCGGGGTAGGGCTGTTCCTATCTCCCTCTCCTGCACCTCCATGGAGGATCCGCTGGGACTGAGTGAGCTGAGGAGTGAGCAGGGGCAGGCAGAAACCCTCTGGAGCCCACAGGCCCTCCAATCTTGGATACTAAGTGCCTCCTGCTTTCCTCCACAGCGGCCGGGCACTGACAGCATGGAGCTGAAGAGAGGAAAGACTTTCATCAAATCCAGCCTGCAGATTTCCCACGAGAAACCACCAGACCCAGCAGCCACTGCTCCAGCCAGGGAGGATGCAGACCCCTGGTCAGCTTCTCTGGGAGGGCAGCAGAGGCCCCATGATGAGAAGATGGCCCCCCAGGCCAGTCCCAGGACCCAAGGATATGACAGATCCCCCAACAAGGGGGCAGAGCTGCTGGACCCCGAGGTGGGACCCACAGTCATTTGTGGATCCACCTTCAAACTGGTGCAGAAGAGCAAGACCCACGACAGTTTACCCGGGCCCAGCAGGGTGGCTGCTGCCACAGGGCAGATGGTAGGCAGTGCGAGCTTCCCGGGGTCCCCCGGTGGCCAGCGCATGATAGACTACCGCCACTTTGTGCCCCAGATGCCTTTTGTGCCAGCTGTGGCCAAGAGCATCCCAAGAAAAAGGATTTCCCTGAAACGGCCCAAGAAGTGCTTTCGGAACCTGTTCCACATTCGCAGAAACAAGACTGAGAATGTGGCCTCTCTAGCAGCCAAGGGGACGAGTCTGTCCTCCCCTGTGGGCCTGTCAGAGGCTGAAGGGCGCCAAGGCAAAGCCTTTCTTCCCCTGGGCGAGTGGCCGGGGCTGGATGGCCTGGACCAGGACCTGTCCGACAGCGAGCTCCTGCCTGATTCATCCTTTGACCTCTGCAGAGCCCTGTGTGAAGATGTGGCCTCGCTCAAGAGCTTCGACTCACTCACGGGCTGCGGGGAGATCTTTGCAGATGAGAGCTCAGTGCCATCCCTGGAGCTGAATGAGGGCCCGGAGAGCCCAGCCCAGGAATCTCAGGCCCTGGAGGGCAAGGTTCCCAGGGGCCCCCTGCAGGGCAGTGTGGAGCAGCTGGCATCACCTGCCCAGAATGAAGCATTGGACTTCAGCAAGTTCTGGGACAGCGTGAACCGCTCAGTGAGGCAGCAGCAGCGTGCCCTGCTGGGCCCATGGCTGGTGGGCCCCCAGGGGACAGACACTGACCAGCCCAGGATGGATGCTGCTGGGCTTGCTGAGTTGCCCCTGTGCCCCTGCAGGGACCCCCACAGCAGCTCCAAAGCCAGCTCCATAGACACAGGCACCCCCAAGAGTGAGCAGCCGGAGTCAGTGTCCACGAGTGACGAGGGTTACTACGACTCCTTCTCACCCGGCCTTGAGGAGGACAAAAAGGAGACCCTGAGCCCAGGAACACCTGCAGCCACCTTCCCCCGGGACAGCTACAGTGGGGACGCCCTCTATGAGCTCTTCTATGACCCCAGTGAGGGCCCTGTTGGCCCAAGCTTGGATGATGACCTGTGTGTGTCTGACAGTCTGTCAGGGCCAGCCCTGGGGACACCACTGTCTATGTGCAGCTTCCACGTGGGGGCTGAGGAGAACCTGGCGCCAGCACCAGGCCCTGACCTGCTCAGCCAGGGCTTCCTGCAGAGCTCCTGGAAAGGCAAGGAGTGCCTGCTGAAGCTCTGTGACACTGAGCTCGCCATCACCATGGGCATTGTCAACTGGCTCCGCCGTGGCCCAGAGCCCCGTGCTCCACCAGCCCCCACCCCTACCCCTGCTCCTGTCCCAGGGGAGCCTGCAGCCCCACCCAGCCCCCAGAGAGACCCCAGGGAGCCAGCAGAGAAGCTGGAGGACAAGGGGGCCTGGGCAGCAGATGCAGGCAGGGCCACAGTGTGCTCAGCACCCAGCAGGCAGGAGCTGTGGACACACTCGGGTGCCAAAGGCCTGTTTGCTGGAGAAAATGAGGTACCAGGGGGTGCCACATGGGGGACCAGCATGCGATCCTGGGACCCCTCTCTGGAGGAAGGGACACGAGGCCACCCTGAAGGCTTGTTCTCTGTGGGGTCTACAGCCTCCAAGACAACAGACAATTCCAGTAAAAACAAGGCCCCAAACCCTTCTGCCTGGCCCAGCTCCCAGAAGGAGGCCAGGCCTTCTGAAAACCTGGGGTGTTTTCAAGGCCCCTGGAAGCCAGGTCCCAGGGGAAGCACTCTGGATGCAGAGCCCGTGCTGATGGGCTGTGTGGCCCATGTGGCAGCCCTGCAGATCCTCCCAGATGGCCAGCCCCTGGCCACATGGTCTCCAAGGCAGGGCACAGGCAGTGGACTCTTTGGGCAGACAAGGGGCCCTGACATTCTGCAGCAGAAACAGCCCAACAGCTCCCCCAGAATGACCACCATTCATGTCCAGCCCTCCCCAACCAGCCCACAGGATCAGAGGTATCAAGACCAAATCCTGGACCTCAGCTGGCTCAGGGTGGACAAGGGGCCCTGACATTCTGCAGCAGAAACAGCCCAACAGCTCCCCCAGAATGACCACCATTCATGTCCAGCCCTCCCCAGCCAGCCCACAGGATCAGAGGTATCAAGACCAAATCCTGGACCTCAGCTGGCTCAGGGTGGACCCCACCAGGCCAAGTGCCCAGGCCTGTGCTTCCATGGAGAATCAGCCCCTGAAGTTCAGCACAGGGGCTGTGGAGCAGGCAACACACATGGGTCAGCTGGACTCTGAGGCCCCCTTGGCTCCTGCTGCCCATGAGAGCCCCGGGGACCACTTTCCAGAAATCCTAGGCCTCACTTCAGATAGCCAGCGGGAAAGGTGCCCCTCTGCAAGTGCTCCAGAATGCCGCTGCAGCCTCCTGGCCCATGAGGGCATCCTCTGCAGCCAGCTGGAAGTGGGGGCCCCTAGGCCAGCCGTGGCCGAGCCTCACCTGTAGGATGGGCTCACACTCACCAGGAGCTGCATCTTGTGCCCACATTCGGGAGAACCTAGGACCCAAATTTCCATTTTGTCCCTAATGTGAGGACTGTGTTGGGGGAGGGGGCAGGACTCAGGCAAGCAGTGGTGTGGGTATTTTCACATGGAGGCATCCCTGCCTGAACCCAGCAGCTCAGGCAGCCCAGGGCCAAGGACAGCTCAAAGCTGCAAACACCTCGCTGCTCCTCCTACAGCACGTCGGAGAGAGGAGCCCAGGCTTGAAACTGATGGAATGAAAATGGGAAGTAGAGACAGCCGGCACGCTTTCACGGGGTATGCAGTGGCATGAGGCCCAAGATTCAGGGCTGGTGACAGGTGGGGCAGAGCTGAAGAGGGCCCACCAGCCCCACCCCACCCTGCCGTCGGCCCCATGACAGGCGGCCACAGCATAGTGGAGGGCTTCGGGCTTCTTCTGGGGAACGCGAAGTGGAACCAGCTCCATCTTGGCAAAGAGGCCTCAACCAACCCATGTCATGGCGTTACTATGCGACCCTGCCAGGGCTGGCTGGACCCCGTCAGCCCTTGTGGATGGTTGCTGCTGGATTCCCTGCCACAAATTATCCAAACAAACCATAATTTTCCCCAACTCGCACTCTCTAACAGAAGCCATGGAAGGCAAAATGCTCTCTGGGAAGAAGCCAACTGACTCTTCCCAGTGCTGCTGTCTCCCTGCAGATAGCAAAGGCCTTTGACTTGGTCCCTCCATTCTATCAGCATCCCTGTTCCCCCACCCCTTCAGGAAAACTCACCTTTGAATGGGGCTGTGCCCCTACCAGAAGCCACAACACATACACAGTGCCCAAACATTCAGAACCATGACAGAAAAGGCAGCTGGTGTCCTCAGGAAAGCAGGTGTCTGTCTGGCCCAGTGTCAGGCCAGCAGGTGCAGGGACAGACGGCCCCTCCACATTCTCTAGGATTAGATTCTACCTCAGCCAAAACGCTGCTGTGAGATGCAAAGGATGGGACGCTACAGGCAGCTATGAAATTGTTTCTAGAGGACAGGCCAGCATAGGAAAGGGGATAGGTCAGGTTGTGGGCAAACCACTGGAGAAGTCCCTTTTCAGGCAGAGCTTCCATCGGGGAGGCATGTGAGGTGTGCTGGCTCTGCTGGTGAGAAGAAGGTGGGGAAGGAACTCCAGAGGGGGCTGCAGTCTGACAAGGTGGTGCGGGCTTGTTGCCTCTCCTGATTGTCTTACGCTTGGCTTCAGGCTAGAAAATGCTCCATGGCCCCAATTCACATTGGCTCACTGAGGACACGGGCTGCACGTCGCAGGGTCAGAAAGATGCAGCAAGACTCCTGCTTGGCCCATCCAGACCTGGGACCTTCTGTGAGGTCACATCTGCCCCCACCCCCACGTGCCAGGACCTACACTTAGGATCACGACAGCGTTTCTGAGCCTTGCTGTGAGCAGGTTACACAGAGATCAGCTCACTGGATCCCTACACCAACCCCAATGCAGTTGTTATCCTCATTTTTCAGACCTAGAAACTGAGGCACAGAATGCAGATGTGACTTGCCCATGGACACACACAAGTAGTGTTCAGGGGACATGGATCCTGCCCCTGGCTCCAAAGGCCCTGCTCTTTAGCAGGCTTCAGAACTTCTTGCTGAGTTCCCACAGCCATCACCCCTCTCAGCCCTCACTGCTTCCTTCTACAGGCCCCAGATGTCTGAGCACCCTCTGGAGCAAGCTACATGGCTCCCCACAGCAGGCTGCGAGCCTGGGGTAGGTGCCCTCAGTCAGTCACAGCCTATGGCTTTGTACTGCGCCTGACAGAGTAAGTGCTCAGTAAACACTGAAGGAGTGAAAAATTGAAAGGTTGCATGTGGTTTTCTGATTTCTCGTTGACAATGAGCCTTGTGTTTGGAGAGAAACAGAGCTGAGGTCTAAACATGACTCTGGCTTGAGAACCAGACACCTTCCCTATGGCAGGGAGCCTTTCCTTGTAGTGACACAGTGACTCCTGGTGATAGGAGAGAACCCAGCCAGGTCCGAAGGCACTGTGAAGGGTGGGAACTAAGATGGTCCAGGCATGGTCAGGAGGGCCTGGGGTCAGGAGGGGGAGCCAAAGGGCTTCAGGACCCAGGAGTCTGCAATGCCTCAGCAGCAGGCAGCATTAACAAGGAATCGGGGCCATGCCCACCTGGGAGGAAACCCTGGCCAGTGGCTCCCCACCTGTGGGGCACTTAATCCTAGCACCCCAGATTCTCATTTAGCCATCTGGGGTGGGGGTCTCAGGAGCGGCTGCCAGGCACCTTGCTGGGAGAACAGAGGAGGAGGATGTGACTTCCTCAGCCCCTTACTCCATCAAGGTGATCTCTTTCTCCGCACCCCCCCTCGGACTCCCCTCCCCATAGAGAGGGTTCCAGGCGTGCCAGCCTAGCCAGACTCTGCAGGCCTCAGCGTGATCCACCAAGGGGAAAGAGGGGAACTTCAGGGCCAGCACCTGGGACAGGTTCCTCGCCCATTGCTGGGAGTGGAAGAGGCCTGGTTGGGCCTTTTCAGAACTCTGGTCATTTCTAACCCTCCCATTCACACTTGGCTGTAGAGGTCACGGCAGGTTTTTCCCATGTGAAATAAATTCCTGAGAAGTAGGTCCAACTATCCCCAGCTCACAGCTGTCTCACAGAGCCTGAGTGACTCATCCAGGGTCCCACAGTAGGGGTGGGGGGTGGGGGTTTGCCCAGGGGCTGTGCACTGTGTCTTCCAGCCTCAGATGTGGTGCTGGGAATGCCAGGGGAGGCCAGGGGCCCTGGCAGAGAGAGGGTAGCGGGGAAGGCCGGCGTGGGCTGGGAAGAGCCATGGACTACGTGAGGGCTGCTGCTTTTCTGTCCTTGTTTCCTATTTTATGATTTTATTTATTTATTTATTGAATGGGAATAAATACACAGGACACAAAACTCGAAAGGCACAGAAGGGAAAACAGCGCAAGTCTAGTCTCCGTCCTTCTCCCCCCACCTGTGAAAATGAATTCACACTTGCTATAACCATCCAAACACTGGGAAGGCACAGCCCTCTTCCTGCTCCCTCTCAAGCACTGGTGTGTGTTCTCGGGCCCTTTCCATGCCCACGACACAAACACGTGTGAGCACGAATCCTCTTCTGCTGCCGAGGACATCCTGCTCAGGCCTGGCAGGTGCCAGCAGCAGCCACTCACCTCTGCACAGCTGCACCATGGTCTCCTAGGTTGCAATTTGTTTAAACACTCCCCTGTTGATGGACATTCAAGTCGTCTCCCAGTTTTGCTGTTACAAACATTGCTGCACCCACTCCTTTATTCTCCTAAGCGTACTCTATTAAAGTTCTCTTCAAAATCGTGAAAACAAAACTTACCTTAACAATGAAAAGATGTGTTTTTTAATGAAAAGTGTCTCCTGCTCGTGTGGCCCCACCACTGCCCAGCTGCCTGAGGCCCCGATGTTGACAGTCTGGAGTCCATGCTTGTACAAGCACATTACNACTTCAGGGCCAGCACCTGGGACAGGTTCCTCGCCCATTGCTGGGAGTGGAAGAGGCCTGGCTGGGCCTTTTCAGAACTCTGGTCATTTCTAACCCTCCCATTCACACTTGGCTGTAGAGGTCACTGCAGGTTTTTCCCATGTGAAATAAATTCCTGAGAAGTAGGTCCAACTATCCCCAGCTCACAGCTGTCCCACAGGGCCTGAGTGACTCATCCAGGGTCCCACAGTAGGGGTGGGGGGTGGGGGCTTGCCCAGGGGCTGTGCACTGTGTCTTCCAGCCTCAGATGTGGTGCTGGGAATGCCAGGGG